GACACATGGATATTAGAATTATTCTAATCCCATGCATTTTTTTTATGAGATAGGGGGGACAAACCCCCAAAAGAAATGACAACTAACTAGTACAAATCAAGCGAGGCCTAACAACACCTAAAAAATCATCCTCCAAGAAAAAGCTAACCCAAGCAGGGACCTCATCCAAATAACAAACCCCCAAATCCAAGTTAAAGCTCCAGTTAGTCATACGATTAGCTACAACATTCACTTCTCTGTAAACATGAGTAAGGTGACAGTTGCTAATACGCCTCATAAGAACACAACAGCTCTGAATCAACGCAACAAGAGGATGACAACTTAAGGTTCCAACTTGCTGAACAAGGGAAACAACAATTGCAACATCCATCTCAATAAGAAGATTAGAAAAACCTTTATCCCATACCAAATAAAGCCCAAAATACAAGCCCCAAAGCTCAACCTCAAGGAGTTGCCCCTTGCCTAAATTCACAGCAAAACCACAAATCCAATTGCCATTAACCCCACGGATCACTCCGCCAGCATCAATACAACCTGAAGCTGCTCTCCTAGAACCATCCATATTTAATTTCAACATATCTAAACCAGGAGGCTCCCAACTGAGTAAAAACTGAGCTAATCCCATGCATTTACTAACGCATAAGTATCAAAAATCATGTGAGTCCTATGTTAAAATCTTAATCCATAATTATTTACCCTTAAAACTAGGAATCTGATCAACTAGTCCAATTCCAAATCCTTAAGTCCATTCCTAATAAATATACAAGCCATAAGATATATAGTATCAATAAATACATATCCCACCGGAAAACTACTCTCTTAACAGAACAACTCCAAATTTCTTTCCACATCCTATAACAATTTTTTGCCGGCAACCTCTCCCTTTCTTTCCTTCTTGGGCATTTGATAATCCGTTTGCTTTGGTTTTTGCCAGAGCTAGTTCGTGATCTAGTCCTAGCACTTTGCGGTTGATAGAGAAAATCCAATTAACATTTAATGTGTGGTATCTTTTTCTAAACCATTGCTTTGAGCGTTGTCAACGACCTAAAGGCAAAGCCCATCAATAAGCTATCAGTGATGTTTTTTTTATCGTGGGAAATGTCATCAATTTAAGGATGAATCCCTTGATTTGTGTAAAGCTTTTCACTTGTCAGCTGTGAGGTTTAATCATGAAAGTTTACCAAAAGTTCCCAGCACTGAAGGCAAAAAGAAATTGTAACCAGCCAAGATAACATAATGAGTTTTTAACCCATGTCAACTTTTTAAGCTATAACTTTTACCAGTTGACTTTTGTCAAGTTTTTTTTTTTTTTTTTTTGGGGGTGGTGGGGGTTGCAATATTTTTCATCAAATTTCATCTTGTAATTTTAAGCAAACTTGTTTTGATATTGTTTGTTATTGCCTAACTAACAAGTACATGTTATGAATTTTTTTATTTTGTTGCTCACACATTTATTTATTTATCTATATATATAAAGCAAAAGGCAGAGAATGATGAACATTTAAAATACCAAAAAATGTCATTAGTTAATTCAAATATTAAGAATTGAAATTATTAATTAAATGAGGATAATATGATAAATTCACTTTTTTTATATTTAAAAAATTAAAATTAAAAACAAAATCAGATAATAGATCCTACTTTTATGGAACATAACTACCCATGTTATATTTTCTTAATTCTAAAAATAAAATAAAAAAGAAAATCAATTGGCACATTTGTGAGCAAGTGTCAAGAGGCTAGTCTAATTTATATAAACGATATTGAGAGATGAGGAATTATAAGACCTCATATGCAGGAGACTGATCTTAACCGCTTGAATTACAAATTGCTTATTGTTACTCACACATCCTTAGATTTATAATACACGACTAAGATTAAACACCAAGCAAAAACAAAAATCAAGATTTAAATAATAAGAAGAAAGAAATGAAAAGGGAAGAGGTTATGTTGGGGTTAATTTTCGTTATAAAAAAAATTATTTTTGGTAAAAAGAAAAAGTAGAAAAAGTGTATGAGGGTTGGGTGAATTCACGTGAGGGTAGGTTGAGTGGTTGACCCGAAAATCCGGTGGCTGAAGAAAAGAACTTCCCCTATTTTGGATCCAACGGCTGCCTATAACCTATACCCGCGAAGTCCGCCTACCGCCGCTCGATCCACCGCAAAGCATCTACTGTTGCTCACTTTGACTCTCCACTCAACTATTTTCATTCACCAGCCGGGCTGGCACAACGCGTGTAGGCCACGCCCAAACATCCTTCTCCACTTCTTTCACATATGAAGAGTATAAACTAGTAACTAGTTCCACGAGCGACACGAAAGCGTGAAGCTAAGAGTATACTATCCTCGTTAGACCGCACTAAACCTCGTCCTAACGTCATCAAACCGGGGCCTACCATAAACACAAAAATAATTTCAATAATTTGACTTGTTTTTTCAATTTTGATTTTCTGCAGAGAGAGAAGAGAAAGGAGACAATAGTAGGTATTGGGTATTGACAAAGAGTGTGACTTTTGCAGACTGAGATAAAATCCAAGAGAAAATTTGAGCAAAAAGTCAGCTCCTTGAGTGCCGAGTTCAAATCAAAATCAAAAATCAAAATCAACCCACTAAAATAACCCCCAACCTCTCGCCTCTCAGCAGTGTGTTTGCCCAATAAAATAAAGATTCTCAAGAAAGAGAGAAGTTTCCTTTTCTGTACTGCACTACACTACTGTGTCTTTGATTTGAAATATCTGACTGCTTTTTTCTTCTTCTTTTTTATATTCTATCTCATTTGTTTTTTGGCTTTGAAAATTCAGGGAGAGAGAGACGTCTGGTTTTGAAATTGGAGAAGACCCAAATGTGGAAAAGGTGGTCACTGTTCACTCACTCACTCACTGTTTGATGTTAGGTACAAAAAAGCGGGGGACTCTGCTGTGTTGGGTTACTTTACTGCCAAGTGATGGCAATGCTTGTGAAACCCTGAAACCTTTTTCCATTTCACTGTGGGGCTCTGAGGGTTCATGGTTCTAGTGGTAGGCCTCAAAAGCTTCCTCCTTTTCTTATGCTTCTCTTGCGTGCTTTTTCATTTGGTGTTTTGTGATGATTTTGGGATGTGGGTTTGAAATTTGTGCATTTGGGTGTTTCTCTTTTGGTGTAGAGGGAGGATGCTTGTTCAGCAAAATAGGGGGTTTGGTTGGGGTTGCTGATTTTTAGTCAAGGGTCTTGACTCTTGAGCTCATGTGGGGACTTGGAGGATCTTTCAACTGGTTTTGAAATACTGCTTCACTTTTTTTAAGCGGTCAGTGTTCATTGCTTCACTTGCAAGTTGTTGTTTTTAGAGCAACTCCACCCATATTGCCCTTAGCCATGGCAAGGGGGGAGCTAGGGCAGCCACTATTCACGTGAATAGTGGGTGGCCTTGCCAAATCATCATAAAATCTCTCATACACCTTGTGTGCGCTTGATACAGTCAGTGTGCGCTTTTATACATCTAGATTAACGTTACTATATTTCCATCTTCGTATTAACCCTTTGTGGATATACAGGTGGTTGTGACTTATGTTCTTTGTGCTTAGCTAATTTATGAATACAATTATTGATTTCCTTTATAATTTAAAAAAGAAGAAGATTAAATTGAAATCTATATATTCCTTTTCCTTTTCCCTTTTTCTGTTTCCGCTATTCTAAAATTTATTTCTGTTGGTGAGCAGCATTACACTAGGAACAGGTTCAGACAGTGTTGTGGGACAAGAGCCAAGTAGCAAGAATCCAACTCCAACGAAAACACCATCGTCAACAACAGCAGCAGGTTTTTTCCGTATGGTAAAGCCAGCTTACACATTTTTATTTATCATTCGTTGCAGTCGCATTGGACCGTTTGTTCTTATACATCCCAATCATCGATGAGTGCAACAAGTGCCTTGGAGAGGACAAAACTGTGAGGAACGCAGCTCTTATTCTGCGTTCACTTTCAGATATCCCCTTCTTAATCCGAATTGTTATTAAAATTCGAAGTCCTGAGGTGCTTTGGGATGTGAGTACTTAAGCTCCTTCTTTTGTGTGTGTTCTCTCTTTCTATAACGGGGCACTGTTTGCTCAACATCTTCAGATTGAAGTAAGTTTCTGCGCTTCCATATTTGTGGTCTTGGGATCTCAATCCTCCAAGCGGGCATTGGTGACTGCATTTGTTTTACTCACTTGTAAATTTTATTTCATTTGAAGTTGCAAGCTGGGTTTTAAAGTGAAGGGCTTTGGGGATTTGGGTGTAGAAGTTTCTTCATTTGGATATCTTCCTTCCTCTTTTTTTCTTTTTCTGAAAAGCAGTGCATGCCCAATAACATCTTGTTCAGCTGAGTTTTATAGGATTGTTAGCCTTGCCTTGAGTTGGGGCTCTGCTTTGGTTTCAGAAATGGGGACACTGGGGTTTATTCCAATGACATTCCTCAAATGTCTATTCTTGGCTTGCTATCTTGCTTCTTCTTTGGGTCTTAATTCCCCAATCCAATCCTGTGATCGAAATGATCTCCATGCACTGAGAGAGTTTGCAGGAAACCTTACAAATGGGTCCATTATCACAGCATGGGACAAGACTTCAATTTGCTGCCAATGGGATGGTGTTGTCTGTGAGAATGTGAACAATGGGACAGTTGCTAGTAGAGTCACCCAGTTGATTCTTCCCAGCAGGAGTCTCAAAGGGTCGATTTCGCGCTCGTTGGGACAATTGGATCAGCTGAAGTTGCTTAATCTTTCTCTGAATCATCTTGAAGGTGGATTGCCTGCAGAGCTCTCATTCTTGAATCACCTGGAAGTTCTTGACTTGAGCAATAACATGCTGTCAGGACCAGTTTCAGGTGCGCTTTCTGGTTTGAAGTCTATTAAAGTACTGAATATTTCAAGCAATTCAATCCAAGGCAATTTGTCTGAGCTAGGAGGATTCCCACATCTTGTGGTGTTTAACATAAGCAACAATTCATTCACTGGTCAGTTCAATCCTCAAATTTGTAGCTCTTCCAGGGAAGCTCAAATTCTTGATATATCTTGGAACCGTCTCACGGGCAGTCTTGAAGGCTTAGAAAATTGCAGCAGGTCTCTCCAACAGTTGCACTTGGACTACAATTCATTTGCAGGCCATCTACCTGAGTCTTTGTATTCATTTTCAGCTTTGGAGCAGCTTTCGGTCTCTGGGAACTCTCTTTCCGGCCCGATAAGCAAGGAACTGAGTAAGCTCTCTGGCCTCAAGACCATAGTCATTTTTGGAAACCAATTCTTTGGTGAACTTCCAAATGTGTTTGGGAACCTTAGACGACTAGAACTGTTAGTTGCACATTCAAATATGTTATCTGGGCCATTGCCTTCAACCTTGGCACTCTGCTCAAATCTTCGAGTTCTTGATCTTCGAAACAATTCTCTATCAGGTTCTATTGATCTGAATTTCACTGGTCTTCCTAATCTCTGCACACTGGATCTTGCTACTAATCGTTTTTCTGGCTTCCTTCCAAATTCACTGTCTTATTGTCGTGAGTTAAAAACTTTAAGCCTTGCTAAGAATAAATTCAGGGGCTCAATCCCTGAAGATTTTTCAAAACTCACATCCCTTTTCTTTATCTCATTGTCAAATAACAGTTTTGTGAACTTATCTGGGGCACTCTCTGTGCTGCAGCAGTGCAAAAATCTCACGACTCTTATTCTTACAAAAAATTTCCTTGGTGAGGAGATTCCAAAAAATGCAAGTGGGTTTGAAAGCTTAATGGTTTTAGCACTTGGGAATTGTGCTCTTAAAGGCCAAATTCCAGTTTGGTTATTGAGCTGCAGGAAGTTACAAGTACTTGATTTGTCATGGAATCAATTGGATGGCAGCATCCCTCCATGGATTGGTCAGATGGAGAACTTGTTTTATTTGGACTTTTCAAATAACTCTCTCACTGGAGAAATCCCGAAAAGTCTGACAGAGCTGAAAAGCTTCGTATCTACAAATTGCAGTCATTCAAATCTTATTGCATCTGCTGGCATCCCGCTGTTTGTTAAACGAAATAAGAGTGCTAGTGGCCTGCAATACAACCAGGTCTCGAATTTTCCTCCTTCAATATACTTGAGCAATAACAGAATAAACGGAACAATTTGGCCTGAAATCGGACGACTGAAGCAGCTCCATGCTTTGGATTGGAGCAGGAACAACATTACTGGGACCATCCCCAGCTCTATCTCAGAGATGGAGAACTTGGAAACATTGGATTTATCATTCAATGATCTGCATGGTTCCATCCCTCCGTCGCTTAGCAAGCTCACATTCTTGTCTAAGTTTAGTGTGGCAAATAATCACTTGCATGGGGTAATTCCCAACGAAGGACAGTTCTTAAGCTTTCCGAGCTCAAGCTTTGAGGGTAATGCTGGACTTTGTGGGGAAATATATATCCCATGTGGTGATGTCAGTAATACAAGTCTCAAGCCTGTAATGCCATCCAGTTCAAACAACAGATTTCGTCGGAACAGCATCCTTTGTGTCACAATCAGCATAGTGGTTGGGATTGCTTTGCTTCTTGCAGTTGGTCTACTTAAAATGTCTAGGAGGGGAGTAAAGGATCAAAATGATGATTTTGATGACGACCTCAGCAGGCCGCACAGGTTATCCGGAGCACTAGCATCTTCAAAATTGGTGCTTTTTCAGAATTCAGACTGTAAGGAACTTACAGTAACAGACTTGTTAAAGTCTACAAACAATTTCAACCAAGCAAACATAATTGGTTGTGGTGGTTATGGTCTGGTTTACAAAGCCAACCTACCCAATGGCACAAAAGCTGCAATCAAAAGACTTTCTGGGGAATGTGGACAGATGGAACGTGAGTTTCAAGCTGAAGTGGAAGCCCTCTCAAGAGCTCAGCACAAGAACCTTGTTTCTCTTCAAGGTTATTGTCGGCATGGTAATGACAGGTTGTTAATTTACTCCTACATGGAGAATGGAAGTTTGGATTATTGGCTGCATGAAAGTGTTGATGGTGTTTCGCTTCTGAAATGGGATGCAAGGCTTAAGATAGCTCAAGGTGCAGCTCGTGGATTAGCCTACTTGCATAAGGGCTGTCAGCCAAATATAGTGCATCGGGATATAAAAACGAGCAACATTCTTCTGGATGAAAAATTTGAAGCTCACCTGGCTGATTTTGGTCTTTCAAGGCTACTTCGTCCTTATGACACTCATGTTACGACAGATTTGGTGGGGACTTTGGGTTATATTCCTCCTGAATATAGTCAGACATTGACTGCAACCTGTAGGGGCGATGTTTACAGCTTTGGTGTTGTTCTTCTTGAACTTCTTACTGGTAGGAGGCCTGTAGAAGTTTGCAGAGGGAAAAACTGCAGAGATTTGGTATCATGGATGTTTCAAATGAAATCTGAGAAGAGAGAGGAGGAGATCATAGACTCATCAATTTGGAATAAGGATCATGAGAAGCAGCTTTTAGAAGTGCTTGGTGTGACCTGCAAATGCCTAGATCCCAATCCAAGGCAGAGACCGTCTATTGAAGAAGTTGTCTCGTGGCTCGATGGTATTGGATTTGAGAGTGCGACACAATGAATATCCTTGCTGCGTTTCATTTCATCCTATGGAACTGAACTGAGGTTCCCTTAGGATCCCAAAATGGAAAGGTATACCTGTAAAGCAACACTATTGCAAGTCTATGGTTGGTGCAGTCTCTTTGGTTTCTTATAGAAAACACTCCTTCGGTACTTTATGCTCAAAGATGTAATATGTATACAAAGGCTATGTTGGCCACTTCTACCCGAAATAAGCATTTCAAAATTTGTAGAACTTCTGTCCTCTTTTCCTTATATATTATTATTATTATTATAGGCAGTTTTGTGTTCTCTGGTGATGAAAGGCACATAGCAGTTGAAATGCTTTTTCTTTTCCTAGCATTTGTATCTAGTTTGCTTCATTGTAGACACATGACTTGAATACCTGAAATTATTTATATGTATATAATATTATAATGCATATGAATTGTTACTTATTACATATACAGTGACAGTGAGTTTCTAATATTTCATCCATATCTTTTTTGTTCATTATAATTCAAGACCTGTAAGGCTTTTTAAATTCTTCTCTTATGAGCAGAACCCTCATTACTGATAAACGGGCTTTCTGGCTTTTTTTCTTGTCCAAGTTGGGGGAGTCACCATCCCCCAAGAGAAAAGCTGATAACAATCACAATGGACATTCCACCTTTGTAAAATCTTCAGAAAATAATTAAACAGAGATGTGTTCTTATTGGACATGCTTATTCAAAAGGATAGTGATTCCAAAAGCAAATTATCTACTCCCCTGCCTTTACATCTGAAATGGACTGTAGACATGCATGCATTTGTTGCATTAAAATGTCCACAGTCAAATTGCAAACGAGAACATTCTTGACTGAATAAGTAAAAATAGAGAACATTCTTGTTTGAATGTGTGATCTAAATTCACAACCTAGCAATATAAATCTCATATTGGACCAACACGTTTGATAAGAGAACAATCTTTATGTATTTATGTAGGTTTATTTTAAGCATCATCTATAATTTTAAACACTATCTTTGTGGATTACTTGGGACAAGGAGAATAAAACATGTTTTTAGGCTTTGAGCTTCCAATCTTCTTTGTGTGCTGAAGCTTTTTGATGATGTAATCAAGTCTTTGTTTCCTCCCCTGCCAAAACAATGATTGGACTTCTCTTTAATGGGAACTTATGAAAGTTGATGGCATGGCTGCATCTTTTGCAGTGGACCACCAGGGTTTATATCTTAAGCTCTAAGATGTCTAAAGAAATCCTCCTCTTTTGACTCGCTTGACTTTATTCAAGTGCCTAAAGTTATATGCTATGTTACACTGAATCATTCTATAGTGAGACGAGGTCTTATCTCTTAAGCATCGGATCAAACTAACCAATTGTTTGAGCTTGGTTGAAATTTGACCAGGTCAGGCCTGAGATCCGACAATTAAGCTAATAGTGAGCCCAAGTTATATTTCGGTGGGCCTAATCAATAAGGTCAGATAGAAGCCCAAAATCATAAATGTAGCACAATATCTACATGTGGTGGAGTACACCAATCTGGCCGAACACATCAATATGGTCGAGAGCATAAAAGCGGTCGAAAGCCTATATGCGACCGAAAATGTAGATATGCCTATATGCGGGCAAAAATATAGATACAGTCGGAAGACTAAAAGAGGCCGAATACATAAAATCAGTCAATGTTTAAATAAGGAGAGAGATAATCCGTATGAGGATTTTATCATAGGTTACAATTCAAATAGGAATTATGCCAACTTGATGGTCAACTGAAGTTATTGTGGGAGAGCTCAAGATGGAAGGAAAATCAAATCAAATATTATTATTCACATTAAATCACACGCATGAGACAAGGAATTGAAGATATTCTGGAGCAATTATGATTGATTTGAAGGCCAATTGACGACTGACCAAATTGAGACGCACCGAAGCCCCTATAAATACCAAGTTTATGGAAGAGAAAAAGGACCCCCGCCACAACACACAACTTGTCATTTTACATTCTCTTCAATTTCTATCCTAAGAGTAGCATAATGTAACCATAGCCTAGTTCTTATTTTTCCCGTTCTAGTTTCCGTAGATTTCAATTATGCCTTTACATTCTTGTTCTTGTTTTTCAATTCTATTTTAACTTCAATTCATGTTTCTTTACTGTTCTTTGTAATCTAGTTTACTTTACGCACTTGCATTTCAATTATTTAATTTACGCAATTTACATTACGCACTCTTCTTTAAATTCTTTATTTCACGCACTTTAAATTACGCACTTGTCTTTACATTCTTTACTTTACGCATTGGTCTTTAAATTATTTATTTATGCACTTTACTTTCTGCACTTGTCTTTTAATTATATTTAAATTCAAGCACCTTATACTTTATGCACGTGTTCTTCGTTTCATTACATTTCACCTTCAATCTTCATCTCCACCCACTCCACATAATTTGGTTACTTACATAAAGCCTTGACTCTGAGGTAGTGAAAGAACCTAGGCCGTGAGGAGGTTCCTTGCTCGGCCGAACAATCGTTTGATTAAAGTCAGATCTCGAACGCAACACATTCATCTATTCACATTCCATTCAAGCTCAAATTCGGGGCTTGGTGGTGGCACGCCCCACACTCAAAAAAGAAGAAGGATCCAAAACTCTTTCAATCGGCCTACCTGACCGAAAAGAGGGAAACACTAATTTTATACAACAATTAACCAATTTAATACAACAGTTAACAGATAGAACCTCAACACCCTCACTATAGAACTTCTGCTGTTACACCTCCACCACCAACTTTCTGCTCTGTCCACATAAAGGAAAAGAGAAGTGGGCTGATTTTTTTGGGCTCAAACCAGAATCAATCTGTTCAATTGGGTCTTATTTGGAGCCTACATTTCTCTGAGCCCAAATGTAATGTGTATGATCACCAAAATAGGAGGTCCTTGTGTTTCCAAAACCCCTCCACGTTTCGCTCACCTTCTCGTGATATTTATTTGTTTATGTGACTACATCAACCGCTAGCATAGTTTTGATGAGGAAGAACCGAAGAAAAATAACAAGGTCGAAAAAGGGAAGTAAGCAAAACATAGCAGCAACAACGTTCATAGCAAGAAGAGCAGTTGCCTCTGAAGCTTTGACTCAACCCTCTAGCGGATTCTCCAAGGTTTACTTCTCCACTGCCTATGAACGCGCTGAGGTATAGTTTTTTTTATTGTGTTGAGCTCTATATGGCTCCATACTCCTTAGTCGTATTCTTTAATTCTAACAACTATCGTCCATGAAATTTGAACTTCAAATAACTATTCCAATAAAGTAGAGACCGAGTGTTACTAAACTAAATGATCATCTAGATTATGAACAAGATTTGTTCAAGCTTATTACGAGTAATGTGAAAGAAATTGAGATTCCACCCCAAAACCAATTGGCAATGGGGGAGTAGCCTAACTTCTTATAAACTCAGGCCAAGTCCTTTTTTTTTTCTTTTTTTTTCTTTTTTGTCGAAAGCAGGCTAAGTCCCTTAACTTTTCAATGTGGGACAAATACTCTCAATACGTGGATAACACATATTGGGTAGTGTGGGAGCACGTGTGGCCGTAGGGGCCAACACAGGTTCCACCCCAAAACCAATTAGCAATGGGGGAGAAGCCCAATTAGACAATTCCTCAACTTCATTCATGATATCAGAGCAGGTTGCCCACATGTGAAAGCCCAAAATGTGTTGTCCACGTGTTAAGCTTGAAAATTCGCCACACGTGTGGAGGCGTGTGAGAATGTGAAAGTAAAAAGTTACATATTAGAAAGTTGAGAGATCTAGCAAAGGCTTAGACTACTTCCCCCATTGCCAATTAATTTTAGAGTGAAACCTCAACTTTCTACGTAACGTCCTTTTACTGCATATCTAGTATATAATTTTGCCAGACAACTTGTATACAACTTGTATAATATTGTGGCGTGTATCTAACAAGATCATAATTAACAAAACAGATGAGTAAGAGTTAATGTGAGTAGCACAGAACTTTTTACTCTACTTTTTTTCTGGCAGCAAACTTCTGCCACTTATTAGAATGATCTGCGGCCCACAATCCGAAGCGGTAGATAGATTATATTAAAGATATTTGAACAAGTGTCGAATACCTGCAACGCCGCAATGAGTCATGATCCAAACGTGCCCCAGACAACCAAAACACGTGTCCAAAATATGCCTACGTGTTGCTCACTGAATATGCCACTCTGTTATCTGTCTGGCACTCTATACATAAATATATATATATATATACAGTCCTCTTCTATTGAGGGATTCCTCAAATAATTTTATTTGAGGGACGCCCTTTAGGGTACTCTACAATTTTTTTTCCAATGATCAAAACCATCTATTTTTAGGTCTTTATTCATAGATCATCCTTACAAAAAATTAGACAAATCGAAAACCGTTTCGACATTTAATTGGGTCCTACAAAATTAATGAACACGGTGCTTCAAGAAAGTACTAAAATTTTCAATAACTCAATTGAATGGTCAAATGATATCGGATTCAAATGATTTTTTGTAGAGATGATCTTTGAATGTGTATCTACAAAATAGACGGTTTGGATTAGTGAAATACAATCCGGAGTGGGCCCTACAAGGGGTGTCAGAGAGAATTTGAGCGTGTCCAATTATGGCAGCAACATTTTCTTTGACAAAGAGATCCCTTTTCAACATCTCAAAATCTTTGCCGGAAGAGCATCACTTTTGTTTTCGATCCTGCTTATCCAATGCCTGCTTCTCCACTTCTTTTGAACGTGCCCAAGTATATATTTCTTCTCTTTTCCTTTTCCTTTGTCCTTTGTCCTTTGTCCTTTGTCCTTTCTCTCTCCTTTTTTCTTCTTTTGCATCTTAATCTACCAAGTACTATTGGATATATGCTACCTGTATTTATATGTTTAGCATATTCTTTACACGTATACATATTATTTATGAACAACGTTATTTGCATCATTATTTATTAAATTATTTGTCAGTCACTTCTGTCTTTCTCACATGAATTTCGTATTAGAAAAATGATCATCATCGAATATAATGCAATTGCTAAATGTGATACAAATACTCGTGACTTATTATTTATTCTATGAAATATTAGGACCCAAGAAATAAGCCACCGACAGAGGCAAGCAGGGATGAAGGAGACACCAGGATTGATAACATGAGTAGTGTAACAGGATTTGTAGGAGACACAGCAAGACAAGGCACGGCAAAAGCAGCAGAGGTGGCAGAGGATCTGGTTGACATGGCAAAGGAGAGGACGGATTTTGCATGGGACTCTACCAAGAATAAGACCCAAAAAGTTGGGGACACATTGGTTGCTGAGGCTGATGAGAACATCATTGATACAACTGAGTACAGAAATATGGAGAACTAAGTAAGTTCGCAGATCATGATGAACATATTCATAGAGAGATTTGAAGGGTTGTAATATGTGGCTAAGGCTCCATCTGGAAATGGAGGCTCTTGCATTAA